CACATGTCAGTGATGAAACCCCAACCACACGCCTCTATCGGCGGCCACGTCAGGAGGCAACGATGAGATAATGTTCTCCCGTGCCCTTCTCACATTTAACGACATTCCATTACACAACAAGGTAAATATGTTCTCCCGCGCCGCACATGCCCCCAAACGTCACACACAAAAAATAAGTTGATGAAAATATACACACCCCGAGACGCGCTTGCTCCGCAAACACATAAGGGTGCCATAATAGGACACCCGACAAACCGAGTTCCCCTAAATCTTCCGTCTACAACTTCCCAACATAACANTGTTACCCACAGGGGAGATATCGTTGTATGCTGTCTGGGAACCGTAGACATACAGGTAGCCTTTCGCTCACGCTATGGATTCATTGCTAATCTACCTTAGACTTATTTCTATAGGTAGAGATGGATTTGTTGTGTGATATTAAGAAAATAAAAAGAGGGGTGAGAGCGAGACGGATAGAGCGAGAAGTGCAGAGAAAGTCTCTGTTGTACTTCTCCACACGCCACAGCTATATCCACCTGTAGGCCATTAGGGTAGCCCGCGACAGGATGTTGACCGAAGACAGGGTCATAGAAGTGATGGTGGGTGGTCGTGGTGCAGCCGGTAGGACAGGTTGGGTTGCTCACCTTGAAATGATCAGTCGTCAACCTGCCTAAACAACTCTTTTTTCAGTATATCCAGATGATCAAATGATCAGTGAGAGGGCTTGTAGACCCATAGCGAGAACTATTTACTTCTGTACTTCTCTGTCCCCTCCCAAACGTGAGCCCTGCCGGCTCACTAGAGCTCCTTTTTTCCCACGAACACAAGCACACAACCTACACATCCCCTAGCTAAGGACTTGCCCACACCCGACATCGAGGGGTACAAGGCGGGTAACCCGAAGGCCTGCCACGAGCAGTTGGTGTCCTTGATCGCGGCGAATCCACCACCGGAAGTTGGCACCAGCAACGATGTGGCGCGTGCGTTCGCCTTTGAAGTGGCCGCTGGAGTCGGAGCAGAGTATTGCGATCATTCCACTGCTCCCGAGCCCATGCCTAGCATGAAAGCCGCAGCAGCCAATGTAGCCGCTGCGGGGCACCCGGGTTTGCGTGGCGTGTACCACGCCCACATCATAGCGGCCGTCAAGACCCAGGACGTGCTAGCACGATCGGGCTCAACGGCGGCAAACAAGTACCGCAATCAAGTGAGTTTGCTACTTGAACTTGTCGTACAAGGGGCAGGTGTGGTGTTGCTGTGGGTTGCTGTACATGGATAGTATTGTCTAAGGAGCACGAAGCGAAGGTACTGTAGGTACGTTGCAGCAGTCCTTGTCCCTGTGCTGCAGTGATACACTGACTTGGACTTGAGGGTAATAATAGCTGCCACCTATCTGTTCAGACTTTTTGAATTCAAGTACACACCGAAAGCTACTCCTGTTGTGGTCTTNATTCCACTGCTCCCGAGCCCATGCCTAGCATGAAAGCCGCAGCAGCCAATGTAGCCGCTGCGGGGCACCCGGGTTTGCGTGGCGTGTACCACGCCCACATCATAGCGGCCGTCAAGACCCAGGACGTGCTAGCACGATCGGGCTCAACGGCGGCAAACAAGTACCGCAATCAAGTGAGTTTGCTACTTGAACTTGTCGTACAAGGGGCAGGTGTGGTGTTGCTGTGGGTTGCTGTACATGGATAGTATTGTCTAAGGAGCACGAAGCGAAGGTACTGTAGGTACGTTGCAGCAGTCCTTGTCCCTGTGCTGCAGTGATACACTGACTTGGACTTGAGGGTAATAATAGCTGCCACCTATCTGTTCAGACTTTTTGAATTCAAGTACACACCGAAAGCTACTCCTGTTGTGGTCTTTTTTTTTCCGTGTTGTCGTGTCTGTGCGTAGGTATGCATGTACAACAAGTCCGTCCGTCCTGCTGCCTGTTGACCCGTTGTTTTGAGTACGCGCCTGCCGTGTACGCGCCTGCTGTGTGACACGCCTCGTAGACGATATTATGTTTACTGCTGTACGATGTTCTGTGTTATTGGTGTTGTTGGCCCCCCGTTTGTCTGTTGTCCTACACTCCGCAAGTGGTGAAACGGTAGAGCTGTGCGCGTGCGGCGAACATCGTAAAAATGCACCCGTCACCACCCTATCGTAGGAAGCCGAGTTGCAAGAAGCGTGTCGCCTTGCAACGCCGATCAATAGGCTCACAGCAGTAAAGACTGATGGACACGCTCCTTGCTTTATCCTGTTCGTGAGCCCTAGCCCTGTTAAGGGCCGGCGGACTTGGGGCTGCTGTTTAACTGTGTGTATTAGCTCGCATGAGAGAGGAGAGAGGGAGAAGGAAGAGAGGCCCCAATTCTCGAGAGAACACGGGAACTCCGCACTATCATCCAAAGCCTCTCAGCACATACCCTTCAAGTTTTCCCAGCTGCGTCCTACGTAACGGCTACTTTTCGACTATCTACTTCTACGCACGAACACCCTCCCTGGGTCTTTACGCCAGTGAAGAACCTCTAGTGCGTCGAAAATACGTCCGAAAAACCGAAACACAACGACAAACCAAAAGTCAAGGGGAAACCCGGCCACCGGATAAAAACCCCTCAGAAATTCAACGCCTCACGCCGATCATATCACGAAAGATTCCAACGGCTCAAACAAAATCCAATAGCCGTCCATATCACCAATGATTCCAACGGCCGTACTGCAAGAAGACAAAGATAAA